TAAAGCACCTACTTAGAACAAGCTTAGCAAAGCACAGGGACCGCAGTTCAATCCCCCAGCACCACATGCCAGCCAGCCCCGCCCCCTGCTGGGCTGAGCTGGCCACACACACACACACACACACACACACACAGAGATAAATAAATAAAATTTAAAAAAAAAACAAAAAAACAAATGACCCGCTGGTTGTAAGACAATACCATGTATTACAACAAATACTGTGAAATTCATATATTACTTTGTTAAATAAAATTCTGTATGAGTTGTCAAAAAAAAAAATTAAATTTAAAAAAAAGACTCAATCAAAACAATGACCAAATGAACTGTTCAGATACTCTCAAAATAAGAAGTACAAATAGCCAATAAAGACATGAAAAAAGTTTCAATGTTTTTAGCCATTAAGGAAATATAAATCAAAACAACACTGAAATTCCATGTTACTCTATTAAAAATTGCTTCTATCAAGGACTCCTAAAACCAACAAACGCAAGTGTGGTTGTCAGGAAAAAGCAACAATCCTACATTCTGGTGGGAATATAAACTAACACAACCACCATGGAAATCAGAACGGCGAATCCTTAAAAAACTAAAAATAGAAATTCTAGGGGCTGGGGGGGGGATGGCTCAGTGGATTAAGCACTTCCCTGGCAAACACAAGGGCCTGAGTTCAATCCCCGGTTCCACAAAAAATAAATAAATAAATAAAAACAGAAATTCTATTTGATCCAGGTATACCTCTCCTGGTATACCTCCTAAAAGAGTCAAAGACATCATACTATAATGACTATATGGAGTATAGTTATCTGAGAATACATATGGAGGTGTCGTTATTTGAGATAAAGAAACCTACAAAACCAGCCATATTTACAGCCACACAATTCATAACAGGTTCACTATGGAAATAGTCTAGATAGTCATCAACAGGTAAATGGATAAAATATGGCATGTGTATATATACAATGAATTATTATTCAGCTATACAGGACAGAAATCGTTTGCACAAATATGGGTGGAACTGGAGAACATCATACTAAGCAGAATATGCCAGACTCCAAAAGTTAAATATTGCCATGTTTTCCCTTATATGAGAAATCTAAAATATGAAATAAAAAATGCCAACATTTGAACTGACATTTACAAAAAAAGAAACATATGAGCAACCACAGTAGAAAAAGAATCACTCTTAAGTATATGAAAGTATGATTAAATATGTACTGAAACTCACAAAGCATATAGGCCTTATTGAAAACTAAACATTACAAAGCTCCCCCAACAGTCAGGAATTGGCAAATATAACTGAATCACATATAATCTCTGCTGTCAGCCAAATGGGTGCACAGATGTACGCCAAAAACAAAGTCATAAAACTAGGAGTGATGGCACATGCCTATAATCCTGGCTTTGGAGAGGCCAAGGAAGGAGGATCACCCGTGAGTTCGAGGCCAGCCTAGGCTAGATAAGCAAGCTCAAGGCCAAGCTGTGCTACATATACCACATAGTGAAACCCTATCTCATAAAACAAAACAAAACATCATCAAATGAGGAATAACACTGTCTTTGCCTTCATACAGCTTAGCATCAAGGATATATACAAAACACTACACTCACCATATTTCATTTGTTAATAATCCCACTCTGCTCTTACACTTTCTAGGTTGCAAGTTTTAATATTAAAAATTGAAGTACCACCATTCATTTAATTTTAAAAACTACAGGCCCCCCTAATAATTGAGGAGGGGGACTTCTACAATATCAGGAGATAAAAATAACCTTTCTCAGTATTCTTAGAAAAAGAAAACATAATCCTTGACAATATCAAATAAGTAGCCCCTTACACATTCAGACTCAATCTTTTGTTCCATCTTGTGAAAAGTAACGTTTAACATATATAAAATTAATTCTGACTAGCTGTCTCTCTTAATAATGTACTTCCATGTCAATTATACGTACAAGTTTTATTTTTATTTTACTTCTTTTTCCTTCCACATGTATGGAAGTCAAATAAATAGGACCCTGACATGTGCCAGCTTTCTTATTAAGACAGAAAAAGTCAAATAAATAGGACCCTGACATGTGCCAGCTTTCTTATTAAGACAGACGAGAGCTAAAAGAGGAAACTTGTAATTTTCAAAATCACATTTCATTACTCAGATTTCAATTTTATATGTTACACATGCTATACTGAGAACACTGTCAAAAGGTAACACTTACTGTAACTGCCAGAAGACTTCTCTTCGTAAGTAAAATGAAGTTGTAACTCCTCCTCTGACATCTCACAGATGAATATTTTCAGCAAACAGCAAATAATAAACAAAGCATTATGTGTCTGCCAAATGAAGAGGTGGCTAGAGAGGAAAGATGGAAGTCATTTAAGAACCAATATATAATCATGAGTAAGAACAGTTTGTTTCTAGACCAGGATTTCTGCAGGATTTTTCAATAATTTTGTCAACCTACTTGTAATATGAAAATGTCTATCTTTTAATTGATTACATTGGATCAGTGATATCTACCTATGTTTTAATTCATATTTCATTTTATCTCATACAGTGACTCTACTTAAGAACTGTACAAAATGCTCAAATCAAATGGATTCTAGAATTTATAATCTCACCCCAATATCTTAGGACTCTAAATCAAAACTTCTCCTTAACTATTCCCATAAATAAGAACAATGATTCCTTCACAGGGCTTTTCAAAGATCATAGTCTACGTACACCAAAAATGAAAAATATTCACACTGTTAGCTACAAAGCAAACTCCATTTAATCAGCCAGCTTACTTCTGACATTCTGCTGAGAGTTTGAGTTCTTTGGTTCTAGAAAGGAAGACCTTAATTAGTGCAGCAAGATTTCCTGTTCGAGGATTGTTGTCAACTGAAAAAGAAGAAAAAGATTTAAAAAGTTAAAATTAAAAATGAAATCAAAGGGAGTGTATCATAACATTTAGTATTTGAAATTGTTCATTGACCAACCTTGTGCCAATTTCACGTTTAATTAGGGAAATCAGCAATGAGAGAAAATGCTACAATGCTACCCTTGGTCTTAATTATGAACATAAAAAGTGATTTGCAAAATGAAAATAATAAAAACAAAAGAAACAACTGCATCTCAGAATCCAAAATTATAATGAAAAGGTAGAAAATTAACAGAGATATTCAATTTATACATATGCTTTAAAAAATGGTTTTTTTTAAACTATAGAAATAAAACTGTTTAGATCATCACAAACCATTCTTTTTTTTTTTTCCAGGTGACAAAACCAGGCTTTATTTTGGAAAAGACAATTTAATTGGTTTTTGGTGGCGGGCATGGGCAAGAAGGGGTACCCCAGGCAGTAATGTCCCCCCCAAGGGTGAGCTGAGGGCTAAGCTGAACCTCAGGTGGGTCTCTTGCTCCCAATGCTCCCTTGTACAGCTGTCTCCCCATGGGCTCTCAGGCAGCCTCAGGAGAGGTGCGGGCTGGGAGAGGCTGCTGTGGCCCATTCACTTGGGCAAGACATCAGAGGTCTCAGACACCTGCTTCCCATCGCGGGTCTTGATCTTCTTCACAACCACAGCAGACTTGGTGCGAGTAAAACTCAGGCTTTGGAGGCTCCCAAAGTCAGGGCTTGTGAGGCCCCCAGAAGGTGAGCTCACTATTCCTGAATAGCCACTGGTAGTCTTCGTGTGGATGCTCAAGTTCTGTATCCCAACCTCCAGCCTGTTCTCCTCGCCCTCCAGCAGCTTGCGTCTGGCAATCTCAATGTTTAGGGCCTGCTTGACATTCATGAGTTCTTGATATTCGCACAGCTGCCGGGCCATGTCCTGCTTAGCCTTCTGCAGGTCAGCCTCCAGCTGGGCCAGCTTGGTGCTGGCATCCTTAATGGCCATCTTCCCATGCTGCTCAGCATCAGCGATGGCAGCCTCCAGGGATACTCTCTGGCCTTGAAGGGCCTCAATTTCTCTGCCTGCAGGTAGCTGATGCTGCGGTTCATCTCAGAGATCTCAGACTTTGTGCGGTGGAGGTCATCCCTGTGCTTCCCAGCCAGAGTCTGCAACTCTTCATACTTGATCTGGTACGTGCTCTCAGCGTCGGCCTGGCTGCGGTGGCTATCTCCTCATACTGGGCCTTGACCTCGTCGATGATGCCATCCAGATGCAGGGAGGGGCTGTTGTCCATGGACAGCACCACAGATGTGTCCGGCATCTGAGACTGTAGCTCACATATCTCCTCTTCCTACAGTTGCCTGAGGAAGTTGATCTCGTCAGTCAACCCTTCCAGGCATGACTTAAACTCCACCTTGCTCATGTAAGCTTCATCCACATCCTTCTCAATGAGGACAAATTCATTCTCTATCTCTGTATGCTTGTTGATCTCATCTCCATACTTACTCTTGAAGTTCTCCACCAGCCCCTGCATGTTACCATGCTCTGCCTCCAGCTTCAGTTTCTCCTGACCCAGTGAGTCCAGCTGACACCGGAAGATGTTGATGTAGCTTTCGAACATGTTGTCCATGTTATTCCAGAACGTCTGCTGCTGCAGGAGGCTCCACTTGGTCTACAGCATCTTATTCTGCTGCTCCAGAAATTGAACCTTGTCGAGAAGGAGGCTAACTTGTTGTTGAGGTTCTTGATCTGCTCCTTCTGAATATGCATGGCCTGGATGTTGGTGTCCACCTCCAGGTTCAGGGGCTTCAGCAGGTTCTGGTTCACCTGGACGGCTATGCTGCTGCCCACACCACCAGCCCCACCATAGCCACCCAGCCCCAGGCCACCCCAGAAGCTACTGCTGCTGCTGCCCATTTGGGAGAAGCTAGAGGAGATGATGTGGGAGGCAGGCCCTCTGGCATAGGAGAGGCTGCTGAAGGCCAGGGAGCCGGAGGTGGACACCTTGTAGGACTTCTGGGTCACCCTTATGGACACAGTGGAGGCTGGAGTGGAGGCAGGAGAACTGAAGACGGAGATTTGAGAAGGAGCCTGGCAGCCACTTCTGGACAGACCATCACAAACCATTCTAAACAAGCCATAAACAAGCCAATGTGGCTATAGGAGGAGCTTTCTTGATCAGACAAAATGTTAAAGAATTCATCTAAATATTTTATTTCTTCAAATTTTTAAAAGGTAAAGCATTTTAGCTACCCTAGCTTAAAGATCTGAGAGACTTCTAGGAACCAAAAGATCTAGTTTCTGGATATTGAGCCTCAGACAAATAATTTCACTTTTTGAACTTCAGTTTTCTCATCTCTAAGATTAATGGCTAACATATGGAAAAATATACACAAGTGCTTTCCAGGCATTACTTCACTTAATTCTCACAACTCTATTGGATAAGCACTAATATTATTTTTAAATTTCCTCAGATTCTTTCTGTTGTTGTTGCTTTGCAATGGAGTCTATGTAGTTCAGCCTAGGTTTGAACTCACTAAGTACCCCAGGCTGGCCTCAAGCCCACGGCAATCCTCCTGCCTCAGCCATCCATGTGCTGGCATTTTACATATTTTTATTTGTAGATTGCTACTTAGTCAAATACATATCCCTGCCTACTGACTCAAATCTTTTACCAAAGAATTCTTAATGAAATTATAAAGTATTGCTAGACTGCACTAAAAGTCACAGAAGAATAGAAGAATTCAATAGAAGGGACTATTTAGTTAGAACTTTTAATTTTACTAGGATGATAAAAGCTCAGAGAAGGGCCAGGGAGATAGCTCAGTAGAATAAGCTCTTGCCTGCCAAGCAAAAGGGCCTCAGTTCAACCCCAAGTTCCACAAAAAAAATAACAAAAAAAAAAAAAAAAAAAAAAAAAAAAAACCCGGGAGAGAAAAAGTTTTAGATCCAAAGTCAACAATGTATCAGTAACAAGTGCACAATCATTTTCCTTTAACAATCATAACAAAAATGCAAGATTAGAGAGTTCTGGATAACGTTTCTCTTTTATAGATGTTTGTTTATGGTACTGGAACCCAGGACTGCTCTACCCATGAACTGTAATACCCCCAGAACTTTCCATTTAGACTAAGTTTCCTGAAATGACTTCAAGATTGTAATCCTCTTTCTTCAGCCTCCTAAGTAGCTGGGATCACATGAAGTATATTTTTAAAATCCTAAATGCAAACACTCAAACACAATGGCCTCTGCTGCCAGCAGAACTCATTTTTATGCAGATCTCAGAATTATGTATATATGAACTGCTTGAAATGGATTGTTAATGTGGGGACTCATGTCTCCCAATAGCTTCACTGTGTTGAAGGCTTAGTTGTCAGCTGAAAAACTTAATGAATCAGAAGGGCTCTAACTTTATCAGGTGAAATAAATTCATAGCTCAATACCCTCCTAGGAGGTGGGATCCAACCGGATGAAGCAGGTTACTGAGCACAGCTCTACCAGGCATCCCTCTCTTGGGCTCTCCCCACTCACTCTGTCCCGTGGCTTCCCTGCACCACTCCCTGTGCCATGGTGTTCTGCCTATTCACAACCCTAAAGGCAATGGAGCTAGCTGACTACAAGCTGGAGCCTCTGAGGCTGAGAGCCAAAGAAGTCTTTCCTCCTGTGTTTTTTTTTTTGTTTGTTTGTTTGTTTGCTTTCCACGTATTTGGTCAGCAAAATAACTAGCTGCATCCAAGATCTGCAAAGATGGAGTTCAAAATACATTTCTTTAAATCCACATTGTCACACATACTTGAAACACTGTACATGCAGATGAGTCACCTGCATTGTGCTTAGTAACTGCCAGGTATTTCAGTTAACCTGCTGGAAATATCCTCAACACAACGCATCACAGTAAGATGTCATAGCACCTTGCCATTCCAGATGCCACCATGAGCACACAGCATTAGCAGCATCTGGGCATCTGCAGGAAGTTCAGACTCCCAGGTCCATCCTATACCTGCCAAAATTACAGTGTTTCTCTAAATTTAATTTAAATCATTTAAGCATTTTTAGCTGGGTATAGTGGCAAATGCCTATAATAACAATTCTCATGGAGGCCGATGCACAAGGATTACAAGTTTAAGCCCTACCTAAGGCAATTTACTTAGACTAACTCAAAAACAGTTTTTAAATACTGTTACCAAAAAAAAAAAAAAAAAAAAAACCAAGAAAGTGCCAGGAATATAGCCCAGTACAAAGTCCCTAGGCTCAGTCTCCAAGAAGGAGGAGGGGAAAAATAGGGCACTTTTGTGAAAATGTAAATCCCAATTCCACATGTGTAAAGTGCCCTTAAAATTCCACATCTCAAACAGCTTCCCAGGTGATGCCCACTGCCACTGACTAATGAACACCATAGTGAGTAGGAAAGTGCTTCCTATACCAGAATTGGGGGATTCTTTTTGTTCAGTTTTCACAATCAAGAATAGGTATTTGACAGGAAACAGGGAGTTACATCAAATGGGAAGTAGACCAAGAAATGGAGCAAGGGAAGAAGAGAGGAAGGGGAAGTAAAAAGAATTAAAGATGAGTTAAGTACATGCACCAACTGCCATGATGAATGGAAACATTATATACTACAAACATGCACTAATAAAAAAATTTTATTGAGACAAGGTCTCCCCATGCAGTTCAACCTGGCATCAAACTCATGGCAATCCTCCTGCTTCAGCCTCCAGAGAACTGGAACTACAGACATGCACCACTATGCCCTGCATAAAGTTTTTAGTTTTTAAAAGATTCATGGTTAGGTACCGTAAGAGTTTCACTTTGAAAACATTTTTCCTATTCCTTTTTGAAGCTTCAGGTTTAGTATAACGGGAAAAAAATCTCTAGATTTCAGGAAAAACTTTTTTAAAAAGTTAGTCTTTACATATGTATTTCTAAGGGATTGTTATCTAGGTATTACAAGTCAAAATAAAAGTGAGAAAAACAAAGCTGAGTATATGATTACAACTATATCCTTCAGAA